CTTCACACCCTGTCTTAAGGCAGTGCCGGGTCTGGCTTTGAACTGGGTTTCGCCCCAGAGAGCCACTCCTTTAGTTTTTTATAGTCACCTCTCTTTAACCCTTCGGGTGCTCATGCCTCTGGGGAGCTGGTTTCTCTCTTCTGACACGTCCTTTCCCCCTGCAAACCCCAGCAGCTGACGCAGGAGGCGGGAAAGAAGAAAACAGAAGGAGAGCAGAGGGAACTCAGAGCTCATAGGACAGCAAGGGTCTGTCTCCTCTTGGTTTCTCCAGCCAAACTCCTGGCTTCTTCCTCAAAGCACCCCAGCTCCCAAACGTACACAGTAGCACTTGCTGTCCGGAACCTGTCATTAAGATCTTCAAAATGTCGCTTGAGGTGCGGTGCCGTTGCAGAAGCGCTGCGCTGGTCATGGAGTGAAGTCACTCTTTGGCCAGATTCTGGTTGTCCCTCTGGACGATTACTCCTCTGTCCCATGGGGAGGACAGGCAGGGGAAACGCTGGCGGACGAGCCCCGTGGTCACTTTGGGGTCCTGTAGAGGCTGCAGCTCTGCCCCGCCTTTCTCTGCTCCTTCACCTCGGAGCCAGGGCGCCCGGTGCACCCAGCACCCGCGTGCCAGCCCCCCGCCCATCCAAACCACAGGCCCCCTATACTCTTCCTTGGCAAACGGACACTTTGCCCGGTTCCCGCAGCCGCAGGGTCCCCGGAGCATGTCCGAGTCGCCTCAGGGTTGGAGCAGGAGATTGCCCAACTCACTTGAGAGCTCGACGTTACCTGGGGGAGGGACAGGGAGGGGTGATGGGCGGGGACAGTCCGGGTGGCTGGGGCCCGCGGGTTCTTCGGGAGCCCGGCGAACTTAGGGCGCCCCATGGACCGCAAGGAGGAGCGAGCCGAGGCGCGTGTGGCGTGGGGAGACCTCACGGAGGTGAGTGCCCTGCCGTGAACGACAGCAGGCGAGGGTCCGCGTCCCCTAGCAGGGGACAGGGTGGGACCCCGGAGTCCCGGAGTCCCGGAGACCAAGCTGCCTGCAGCGGTCAGGCGCCCGTTTCCCTCCAGGGGCGTCCTGGACTCTTTTCAGCTCTCTTCCATGCGCCAGGCTTCCCATCCCTTGGACCGCGCTCTCTGCCCCTCGGGGAGTCCGCAGGCAGTGTTGGGGGACCCCTTGGCTGTCGGGGGGTCCCTTGGGCGGGGAAGGAGGGGAGCATGTGGATACCTTCTGCTGGCTGCGAGGAAATCACTGCATCTCCACCTTGGAACAGTCTTATCAGACATTCGTTTTCACTTTGTCCCCGCCCTGGGAAGGGGCAGGTGACTTCCCTGTCTTCCTTGGAAGAGGGAGTCAGCCGCCTCCAACAGAGCCATAGAAATCCTAGAAAGTTCCCTGAGCTGCTCAACAAAACGCCTTGAACCCGCCACCCCCACCCCACAGTACCACATACAGCAGCTTGGCAGAGGCTCCAAGGTAAATATTGTTGGCTTTTATGTTAATAAAAAAAAAAATCTGCCCATGGAGATAAGAGCATAGTGACAGCTGCCCTGGTAAAGCACAGTTAAACTACGTTCTCTAAGCAGTGAGGGTGGGTTTGGTTGTTGGTCTTGCGGGTGAGGAGTGCTGCCTTAGGAAGCTGCTGAGGCCAAGTTGCGGGAGAAATGATGCTGAGGGTTTTTCTTACCGGCGGGGTTAGCTATGTAGTCACCAAGTATGGGAACACACCTATCTAGCACTGTGACCCACACACAGGCGGCTTAACCCCAGTGTCCTTCAGGTAGATATGGTTGCTGAGCAATAGTCTAGTCAATACCATGCCCTATTGAACGTCAAGTGCATCTGGGAGGCTGTTCCCTCACTCAGGGCCATTGGCGATGATGTGCTGCCCTGGGAAACAGCCCCATGCCCTATCCAGACGTGTGTGGTCTGATCACTTTTCCGTACATTGACTGAGCTGGCCTGCGCTCTGACAAGTCTGTCCAAGGTCTCCTGGACTCCCTGAGTTGCATCACCCTTGGTCTTGAGCGCAGAAGACAATGGCCAGCAACCTCCCAGTGTACCAGGCACAGCCAGTCAGAAAGGAAACCCTGAGGCTGGACCCTGGGAGAACGTCTGTGGTGCTAGATGCTAATCCCTTAGTTGTGGGATTTTGGGGTGGCCCTAGGGGGTTCCCAAATAAGGCACCCAGTCCAAAGTGATAACCAAGCCTATTTTTACAATCAGTATACCCACAACTATGCATATCAGCCTGACTGGTACTTCTATCTTAGGTGATGTCACAGGTCACCCCCTTGGGCCTTATAGCTCTGAGCAAAGCAGGAAGCTTTGAGATTCCTTTGTCTGAATGCAAAGCCAACCCTGGTAGCTTTTTGGTTTTGTTTCTGAGGAGGGAAGACATGTGAGGAAGTTGTGTCCAGCCTCACATAGGGAAGTTTGGCTTTGCTGAGTGTTGAAATCCCCGTAGGCCTGCTTGCTTGTCTCTGTGTGCCCTCAGACTCTCAGATAGCAAGAAAACACTGAAATGTGTGGTTACAGAACCCAAATGTGTCTGTTTCACTCTTAGTTTTGCGGAAAAAGATGCAGAAGGCAGACCCAAACATTCAGTTAGGCCTCCAGCTTCGGGGCTCCCCAGGGCTGGCTTTGCAGCTCCACACAGTGTGGGCCAAGCGTGCTCAGCTCTATAGGACCGACTCAAGTGTAAGGCACTCTTCCTGCCCTTCAGAAGCTTCCAGGTTTAGATGGGGAGACAAACCCAGCGCCTGTGAAACCATTAGAGTGCTGTTAAGTGTGAAAGCGGGACAGCCAGTGTGGGCTGGAGAAGGCAGACAGGGCCTGGAGAGCTACATGGTTTTAAGCCACATTTAGAACTAACAGGCTGGGTCAGGGCCAGGAAGAGGGAAGGAAGGCGGAGGCTAATGTGAAACTCAGAACAACAAAGGAGTCACTGCTCACCAGATGCAGCCCGAGTACCCTCCCTCCCTCTCCGCTGCAGCTCCTGCTCCTCTGCCTGTCCCCTGCCTCGCTGACTTGCCCTGAGGTCTGACCAAGCATTTTTTGCACCCCTTTCTGTCTTTACATATGCTGTCCTGTGCCGAATGCTGTTGGAGAACCCTCTGTGTTTTTTAAGAAGCGTCTCAAATGGCATCTTCTGCACTGAAGACTTTCCTTGCTTCCCCACCCTGACCCCAACTCCCTGGTCCTCAAGCCAAGTGGGGAACGCCTGCTTTGGCCTCCGTTGCTCCTTGCACGAACCTCTGTTGAAGCTTTTAACACCCTGTATTGCCCATTGGAGTTGAGAGGTCTTTGCCCCATTTTCTGAGGCGAGGCTGTGTGTCACTCACCTTGTAGTCCTCTGAGCCAAAGTTGGTGGCTGGCACACAGCAGGCATTTGGGGAATGATTCTTGATTGAATTTTGGCCATATACAGGGCACCATGAGACACCTCACTTACTTGGAGCAGAAGGCGTGGATTAAGCATTATTATTGGGAATATAAGACTGGATAAGTGGTAGAGCTCAATCTCAGAGGCCTTAAGGAGTCTGAGTTCAATGAAGCAGCAGTGCTCAAACCCTTAGCAGCCCCCAGAAGGGATGCAAGGTCCTTCTTGATTGGGCCCCAGGGTACCCTCTCTAGCCTCACCTTCCATCACCTCCCACCTTGAACTCATATTTCCACCTTTTGAGCCACTCTCGGGCCTCGGCTCCCTCCTCTCCTTTGACCATGCTGTTGGGCAGCCTCTGCCAAGAACGCCCACTGCTAGCTCTAGATTACTCCCCCTGATCCTTAGGACTCAGTGTCCATGTCCCCTGGGCCTGGAGATCCCTCCGGCTGGGTGTGTGTCTGCCTCTGCCACATGCGTGCACATTCTCTAACAGCATCATGCTGTGCCCTCGTGTGGCAGCCTCTGTGCTCGTGACCGTTAGCCCTCAGAGGCTGTGCCTGAGTTTCTCCATGAGGAAGCCCCACCTACTGACATCTTTCCTGAGAGACAGTGCCCAATAGACACGTAGTGGATGGAAGACTGAACCTGGATGATGAAAATGTAAAAGGAAGGACAACTCTAGATACATTTGGAAAGGAAAAAAAATAGGATTTGGTGATTACAAAGACGGGCAAGGGGAAGGTTTGCTTACCACCTGCAAGGCAGGTGGAGGTGGTGTCACACAAGACTTGGGTCCCCGGCCCAGGGAGAGGCCCGCTGATATGCTTCTGAGCACTGTGCAAAAATATTTCCGTTTGCAGGAAGATTTTCAAAATTCAAAATATCATTAAGTCACTTTGGGGCACATTGCATCTGAAGTTATAATAGGACATCCACATGGGGATGCCCTTTAATCAGCTGAAATATACACACATTGTGAGTACCAGCGAGATGTCAGGGCTAGAGGTAGATTTGGGGGCATGGTCAGGATGGTTCAACTTGTGAAAGCAAATGTGACCACTGTGGAAACAAGCCTAAGCCAAGATCAAGGTCCTGGGGAGAAGCAGCAAGCCAGAGTGTGGGAGAACAGGATGACCCAGTGGGAAACAGCATGACAGAAAGAGAGAAAATCAGGGACACCAAAGGAACAGATATTTTAAGAAGAAATAGGAGGCCCACGCTGTCCTTGCTAAACAAGAGAACTGGGAAGCTCAGACAAGAATAGGTGAGAAAGGGGCCACCTCCCCTAGGAAGGCCAGATGGGGTCAAAAAAAGGCCAGTTCATGGGCGGTGGGAGCAGTGGGTGGAATCTTTCGACTTCATGTCTGAGGAATCTGGCCACGAAAGAAAGGATAAATTATCTTTCGGCAAGAAGGGAGGAGTGGTCGTGTCAAGAGAAGACTTTTTTTGTTTGTATGTTTTCTAACAAGAGATCGGACCACAGTTGAATGTAGGAGAGAAGGAGACCATTTATGCTAAGACATTTGGATAAATGCCCCCTCTCCACATTGATTGCATTTCATGTAAACGTTCCTCCCTTCTCTTCTCTTCCCCACAAGTGTCCCAGAGAACTTGCATTTTGGGTAATCTCCAAAGTTATGGTATTGCTAAATCCAACCCTAGGATGTTGCAATGCTGAAATGATTGGGTCTCACCCCCCTGGCTCGTGGTAAACTTGTCTCACATGCCCCTAAACTCCACCTTCCTTCATAATGGCGCTGGCCAGATGTTTTTATCCTTCACTATGCACAAATTAGTAACACCCATAATAACAGCAGTCACACAAATAGCATTGACTCTGAGCCAGACACTGTTCTGAGCACCTATGAGGTGGGTGTTATTATTCTAATTTTTCAGGTGACAAAAAGCAAGTTCATGCTTTACTGTAGACTGATGTCCATGTTTCTGATGCTGCCACGTGTTTCAGAGTCCTGGCACTGCTGACAGCATGACTACTCCAAGGTCACCAAACCAATGATCTATTCAGATCCAGTTTCACTGTGGGTTAGACTGGCTTTGATAGTCAATAAGTAATGAGATAGTCAACAAATAATCGACTACATGCAAGGCATTGCAAAAGACCCAAAATAAGAGCTCTATGTGTCATCTCATTTAATCTTCAGAACCACTTGTTTTGTAGACCGGAACACTGAGCCCGCATTTGAACTTAGACAGCCATAATCAAGGCAAGAAGTAAAGCCACTTTCAGCCCTGAGTTTGTCATCTTAGCTTCCTCCTCCTCATGGTCAGAGACATAACTTGTTCTAGATACACATGGTCTCCGACTTACGATGGATTCTACTTATGATTTTTTTACTTTACGATGGTGCGCAACTGATACCCATATACAACCATTGTGTTTTTCACTTTCAGTATTCAATAATGACATGAAGTATTCAACACTTTATTATAAAATACGCTTTGTGTTAGGTGATTTTGCCCACCTGTAGGCTAATGTAAGTCTTCTGGGCACATTTAAGGTAAGCTAGCTCTGATGTTTGATAGGTGTATTAAATGTATTTTCAACTTAGGATATTTTCAACCTAGGATGGGTTTATTGGGATGTAACCCCACTTTAAGTTGAGGAGCATCTATAGTTCCAAGGCTACCTTTATTTTCTTTCCCAACATGCAAAATGAAGGGGTAGAAAGTGTCAATATCTAACATGCTTAGGTTTGTAAGAAATATTGCCTCTCCTTTTCTAGATATCAACTTAATATTAGTTTAGAGCCTTTGTCTTATCAGGCTGGCAAGAATAGAAACGACCCCAGAGTTGTGTCACAACTTCCCGGTGTTATGCATTGTCAGGACCTCGGGGCAGAAGTGGGGGTGGTCCTGCTCCCCAGGCTGGTCGACACCAGTTACCAGTGAGCATGCCCTTGTCCTCACTCCCTGGTCTCTGCTGTTTATGGACCACACGGCTGAATTCTGGAGTCTTGCTAGAGTCCTGTCCTGCTGGGACCCACAGACCTGTTTTTCCCTTCCTGTTTCTTCCAAGCCTCTCTGCTTCTCCTCGTTGCCTCCCTGGATGTTTGGATGTTTTCTGAACATCCTGGAAAAGCCTCTGCATCCTTGACCTAAAGCCAGACTACTTCTGGGTACAGTCCTTCCACATACCTGACCTGGGGCAATGACTTGGGGAGACTGCTAGAGATGTGGAGGCGGGTGGAACTCAAGGAGGGGAAATACAATCGTTTTTGACTCTCAAAAGATTATCTAGCCGCAGAAGCAATCCCCTCTGAGAGTAAATCCTTAGGGGGAAAAGTTGCTATTTATGGCCAGGGTATATATGGGTCCATGGCTGTCATGACACTCAGCAAATCTCATTAGATAGCAATTGTAGAGTTTACAGGGCTACGAAAGAAAATGCTTCCAGTTCACACTCGCCAGTATACACATACAGAAACAGAACAAGGGCAGTTAAACTTGTCAAAGACGCCCAGATGCTGGCCGGGGGAGGACAAGAACCGAGGTTTCCCCCCTCCCAGCCCAGTGCTTTTGCCCTGATCTCAGGCATCCTAGAAGTTACCACCCACAGGAAGTTGGAACCAAGTCTCTGGGTGACTCTACCCCCCACTCAGATGGAGCACAGCCACCCTGGGCATCTGGCCCAGGGCAGAGTCCACGCTCCATGAACCTCCCTGGCGGCCCAGGAAACTGGGCCTCTGGCATGAACTGGAACTGCTTCCAGCAGGGGTGTGGTTCCCAGCCCTTGCCTGTCCCTGCTCAGTCCCCATGGTACCACTCATGGAGTCATCTTTCTTCCTGTGCACCTTGCTGGCATGGAGACCCTAGACCTCCTCCTACTGGCCTGACCCCCCTTCTCTCCTTCACTCCCAACCGGGGGGCGTCTCGATCAGCTGCTGAGTGGACTTGATTTTATCCTCCTAGGGAGGTGTCTCTCAATGCTTTTGCTAGCCCAGCACAGACTCTAGATCCCGCCTAGTACAGATCCCAAGTGTTTTATTCTCTCCCTTCACATTTCCATTCTCTGTGTCGAACGGATCACAGTTTAATAAGGTTTTTCTTCCCAGTGCCCCCACCCGTCCAACTGCTTCCCATTTGCATCCCCGTCCAAATGATTTTTGCTGCTCTCAGCAGATTGTCTGTGTCATTACTTTCAGGGGATGTGACTAGTCAGGCTCTCCAGCTCTCATCTGCTCTGGCTTCTGACCTTGCCACTGCCCATTTTTCCTGGCAATTTGCTCTGCCCATCAACACGTTAGCTTTAGCTGAGTTGCATTCAGGGAGGCTATCAGAGCCTCAGATGTTCATTTTCTAATTGAGAACATTGGTGCTGCCTGAACCTGAAGGCAGGTAGAAAGAAGTGCAGTTCCTTGGCGAGCTATTGTTTCCCAACGATTGTAAATGTTATAAGTGTTGTGCTAGTTGTTAGTTTTTAATAATCGCTTGGATGGAATTGTTTCTTTCCATCAGATGCTTTAAAACAGCTTGCTAAAGAGTTTATAATGGGCAGACTGAAGAGGAGTCAGTCTGTACCCCAAACCACTTGGGTTTTCAACATACTGTCTGTAGAATATCGATGCTTCTGGCTGCTGCTGCTGATTTTGTTTCGTGGTGTGGGAGGACCACCATTTAAAGATATTAAAGATAAGAGGGGACGCTTTTACAGAATTTCCTGTGAGTGTAGAAAAGAGAAACATGAAATCATCCCCGCGTATTGAGAAATTTCATTTCCTTCTCTTACTGTTCTCCTTCAGTGGTTCCTAAAAGGAATCCATTTCTGGCGAGGTGCAGTTGGATAAATGATGCCTGTCCACTTAAGTAAGCAAGAAATAACAGGACTATGCATTAGGAACTGATTCTCTGGTTCAGACACTGGGGTGTTCGCAGAAGCCACTGTTGATGCTTCCTGGGGGAAGTAAAACTGTTCTTGTTGCTAAGAGAGGTTAAACTGTTGCTCAAGGTCACGCATCTATTAAATTCAAGGATTCAAATTCAACTACAAACTTCGTTGTTATTTTGTTCTTTCAAAAACAATCAAAATTGTGTACAAAAACAGATACAGAGCCTCAAAGCGTGCGTGTGGAGGGGCTGGGTAAGTCCTCCTAAGGCGCATGCTCAGGAAGAAAAGACGGCAGAGTCCTGTTTTGAAATTCAGTAGTCAGCTCCTCTCCCTGTGCTTTGGGAATGGCTGGCCTGCCTGGAGCACCTTTGTGCACTCTAAACGTAAGCAAGCAAGACGAGCTTCCCAGTGGAGCTCAGCTTAGAGAAGCTGGTGACCTCCAGGCCCCCAGCTCAGCCTCTCCTGCGGGCTCCGCTCTGCCCTTGGTGCGCCCCCTGCTGGTGGCCAAGAGAAGCACCTCTCCTGGAATAAAAAACGGCGCTCAAGCTCTCCTATTTCCATAGCTCCAAGTAACACGATGTGACCTGTCCAGCTCCTCAAAAGCCTCCAGTGACTCCTCTTTGAGCAATCATCTGATGCTTCACCCTTCAAGGCTGAGAAGAATTGAGGGGTGACTATTCATATAGTCCCTTCTCAAAAGTGATCGGGGCGCATCTTGATCATACCTCATTTCCAGGAAAACGAAGCAGCCTGAGTAGTGAGCCATGATGCAAATAGCAGGTCACTTAAGTCCTTACCACCCAAATTATGAGCCAGCAACCTCAGCATCACTTGGAGGTTTGTTAGAAATACAGAATCGCGGGTCCCAGCCAGCCCAGCTTGGCTGAATTAGAACAAGCGGTTCAGCAAGATCAACAGGTGATTCGTATGCAGAGCACCCTTTGAGACTGTCTGTTTCATGGCATATTCAGTTTTGATTTTTTTTGAAAGATCAAAATGGCAACTAAGTTTGCAGGTGGATTCAAGTCCTAGTTTTGTCGGGAGCCGGCTGCACCTCAGTGTCTGACATGGCCAAGCACCCTGCTATTGTGACAAATTCTGAAGCTCTGACTGAGAAACATACTGCTTTACGTCTTGGAAATTTTAAATTCCCCTTTGGATGCCCCCAGTAGGATAAAGATCTGACACCCCTTCTTATATTGATTGTTTTATTTACTTTAACCAAATAAGTGAGTTTTAGACCTATTACAATAATTCTGTTTTACTGTTAGTTTCTTAATAATAGATAAGTTATGCACCTTATCATTGTTAGGACTCTATTTACCCAATAGTGCTTGAAACAATTGCTAAGTAGTTATAGTAAACATCCTTTAGGTGCTAAGGTAGAAATTCAGCTTTGGTAAAGATTGAAACATAGTTAGGATAAGTTAGTCATTAGTATAGAATAGATCAGGCTATATCAGAAACATCACAAGAAGGTAAAACTCTGAGCAAAACCACTTCTCAGAAAAATAGACCCTGGGAGAGAACATATAAGAAAAACAACTTCCTAATAGGTACAAGTTTAACTCTGGAAAAAACAGCTCAATAATAGTCAACTGTCCATTATAAAAAGGACATGCTGTTAAAAATAAACTGAGACACTTCTTCTTGAAAGCGCTCCTGTGTTTCTGAGCGTCTTTCTTCTCTTTCCTCACTGACTCCGTCTCCACCTGAGGGAACCCCTGGACCTGTGGGAACTGGTCTCCCGCATAGTTTCACAATGTAATAGATGTGTGACCCTAGGCACATGCTTAACCTCTCAGCATCAGTGTACTCATCTATAAAATAATGAAAAGGACTGCATGTCGTTCAACTCTCAGGACCCTTCTCATCCAAAATCTGAGACCTGGTACTTACTCACAGTCTCCTAACTCAGACATAATATACCCAGCTGTGCTGCTTAGAATGTCACACTGCAATGGCGAACTTAGCTGTTTTCTCCTAGCAACCTGCAAGTTCCCTGCTCACTGTGGAGCAGACAGTGGATTGTCATCCTTGTCCTTGAGTCCCCAGTAACCAAATGACCACAGAAATATCATGGAAGGGACTTCACCACCCCTGTGATTTAATAAAAATGGGTTGGATTATGAAAGTGGAGGGTTTCCCTTCATGGGGTTACAAGAAAGAAAGTCTGAGTGGCTTAGACACCGACCTTCTGAACCACAGGCTGGGCCTGAGATTTCTCAAGATCCCTTCAGCTTGGAACCACATGCCTTGATTGACAAAAAAGGCCTTGATCTTTTCCAGTTAAAATTCCACTCACTAAGAGACACCCCTACGGTCTTAAGTTTTTCTACAAAGAAAATTGCTGTATGGCATGGAGAAATACCTATGTAATGTTTTCTCCCCCTTAACTGGCTTTCTTATTCTCCCTTAGGAAAACCAAAGCTCTTGCTCTCAATTCACTGAACAAACACTGAGCACCGTCATCACAGTGATGAAGTTCCTACAGTGTTGGGAACTGATGTCCTTAAACAGCCAGGAGCCTGTGCCCCCAGAATAGGAAGAACATATTAGAAGCTCTTTGTGCTCGGGCTGGGAGGTAAGTACTCCTGATGAACATAAATCTTCTTCAAAATATTACTGGGGAAACAAGTACAAACTTCTAGTTATAAGTCACAGGGATGTAAAGTACAGTATGGGGAATATAGTCAATAATATTGTAATAACTATGTACGGTGTCAGGTGGGTATTAGACTTATCGTGCCGACCACTTCGTAAGGTACATAAATGTCAAATCACTAAGTTGTATGCCTGAAACTATTCTAATAGTCACTCAACTAATTAAAAATAAACTTTAAATACAACGATGATAAAAAGTATTAATGGGGAAAAGATCATGAGGGTGCTTAAGTTGTGCTACATACTTCAGGGTCCCTGCCCTCACGAAATTTACAACCTTGGGGGGAAGGCATAGAGTATAATTAAAAAGCTATTGTGGAGACGTTGACAGAATATCAAGGGAGGGAGATAAAGTGTACCGGTAGGAATATGAGAACTGTTTGATGGAAGAGCCAGCCTCTGAGATAGCCTTTGAAGGGTGAGTTGGAATTGGATAAGCTAATGAGACAAATACAAGCGTTCAAACCCAGGAACCAGCCGAAGCAGAGAAATCAGATGGAGGCCAAGGTCTGAGAAAGCAGACTTCAGGGCAAGACTGTACACACAGCCAGGAAGGTAGGTTGGCTTGACTTTCCCCTTCTGTTAAATGAGAGGGATCAAGCGTTAAGGTCCCTCCTCCGATCAACCATTCCAGGATTAGATGATAATCCTCAGTGGAGGACCTTGAACTCTTATGCCCTGAAGCTTCTGACCTTGGTGGACAGAAGGCACCAACAAAGGACTCTGATCAGAGCTGTGCTCTGCAAGCCCCCTTGGGCAGCTGAGTGAGAGATGTGCGTGTCAGACTAAGGCTTACTGGGGTGGATTAGCTAGGAGCTCACTGCAATGACCCCCGCAGGAGACGATGGGGCCAGGAAGCTGAGCAGCGGCAGACAATTAGAAGGGAGGTGAATCGATGCTGGTGGTGTCCTGAGGTCAACTTCACAGAATTGGTTATCAAGCACATCGATGTCGTACTTGAAGCTTCTTCCAGTGGGGCATTAAGGAAAGCAGTAGGCCCTCGCCCACCCAGTTAGATTGGAAGAACATGTACCCTGAAGTGTGGAAATAAGGGGCCATAACCCGAGATGACGATGAGTGAGGCAGGGCTAGACCAGGCTCCAAAAGGCTGCAGCCCCCAAGGCTCTCACTTTGGGGGAGCTGAGTAAGGCATTTGACAGAGTTCCTCAGGACATCCCCAACCCTGCCCTCCACGACATCGCTAATGGAACAGAGACTACTCCTAAAAAGGGAATTTCTCACTCGCTTGACTTAATAGACATGCTTTGTATTATGGAGTCACACACACCGAGAGATGTGAACAGACCTTAATGGACCCCCAAGCACCAGTGAATAAATAAGCCATCCTCCTGAGAATGTGCCAGTGTGCAGAAGCTGAATATGCTGATTTTCTGACTCCTTTTTGGGGAACAATAACCAGTGGTCAGACTTTTACCACATTACTCAGTGACGCTCACAGAAGATGCAATGGCTGTTACTTCTCAGGCGTGTGATGCGTTTGAGAAGTGGCTGAGAAGCACCCTTTCCTTTTGACTTGCATGAATGGACAACCTGTCCCTGGCCACGGAGCAGCCTCTCTGACTGCACTAGCCTGTGCGTGAGCTGCCCTCAGCCTGGCCAAACTCTCTTGTGCCCAGAGCCCACCTCCCAGTGGCACCGCAGGGTGCTGCCCCCAGGACTCCCAGTGAGCCCTCCTGTGGATGTGGCTGTCCTGACACAGTGGGTCACCCCAATGGCTGCAGGTCAAGGGTCAGGCCTTCCTTTCTCCTGGAAATGGGAAGTCAGGTTGACTATTTCTGAGCTGGCCGAGGCAAGGCGGGAGGGTGAGGGAAACCGGTGACGTTTGGAACCACTCCTGAGGGGATAGGAGAGGGGGGATTTGGGGTGTGTGAACATCGTATTGAGGACACAGTGTGCTTGAGGCTACTGCATGACTGTGTGAGCACCAGTGCACCATCGTGTGGGTTTTTCTGACAACTCAGCCACCGGGTGTAGGCACACAGGCAGGCAGCTGGTGTAGACAGATGGAGGACAAGAGCAAGGAGGCGGGAGAGTTGAAGGTGTTGAAAGAGGGTTTGAGGAGGTCTGTGGGGTCTAGAATGATGGAGATGTAGAAGAAAGGGGATACATTTCCAGGGCAGGGAAGGTCTAAGGGGAATTACAAGGCCATCAGAGGGTCGGTGGAGTGGAGGTGAGGGCATGAGAGACCTGGAAGATGAAGTTTATGATGGGAAGAGAAGCCAGCATTTCAGAGGGGCCGTCTCAGGAACAAGTGACGGTGGGGGGAAGGCGGAGCGTCACAAAAGGTTAACAGGACAGGGGACGGAGAGGTTAGCCTTCCACTGGAGCCAGGGCCAACACCCTTTGTGACTGAGGGGAAGTGACCACAGGATTAGCAGATGATGATGGAGGGGTGGGCAACAGCAGTACCCCGTACTGAACCACGGCGCCGCCACACCAGAGGCACTAAGCTTACAGGAGACAAGAGAGGGCAGCACACAGTAGATAGGGCATTGTGGTCTTAAGTATGTTACATAACTTCTCTGGGCCCCAGTTTCCTCATCTGTCTCATGGGGATAACAATACTACCTTGAAAAGCCTGGGAGGGTGAGGGAGGAGAGGAAGCTCAGAGTTGTGTGGGGATGAGCATATCAGTAGCTCACTGTATGCTACCGTGGTCATTAGAATATTTCTGTCCTCCCTCCAGACTCGAGCCCGGTGGGTTTTCAATGTGAGTGTACATTAGGGTCACCCAGAGGCCCGATGTCACAGCCCACCAGGCCCCAACTCCAGAACTTCTGATTCAGTAGGACTGGGGTGGGGCCCGAGCATTTGTGGGGCTCAGCAGTCTCAGGTGATGCTGACATTTCTGGTCCAGGACGTCCCCTCCCCGCTTTGAGCATCACTGCTCTGGAGTGTCTGGGGTCACGAATCCCCGACATACAGTGACTTGTCAGCATCTGGCATAGTGATCCCCACAGAGCGGAAGGCTCAGCCCAGGAAGACTTCTTCAGGACAAGTACAAATTCTAACCACAGCAGCTGATCACCACAAGCAGAGGCAGTGCTGACCGAAAAAGAGGTCACTCCTGAAGAGCCTCAAAGTCATGATGGTTTGTGAAGGAAGTTAGAATTGTACCTGGGGAGCAAACTCAAGTTCATGGCTGTGCTGTCACCTACAGTGTTTCATTGGAACTATATCGTCAGAGGCAGGATACTGGGCTGGAAGGACTGTGGCCCCAGCAACGTTTCAGACTTCATGGTGCTCACCTGCTGGCTTGTTCCAACAGGGTGCTGTACTCTGCATCTAGAAAACGCCTTTGTTTTGTAACATTCACCTTGTCCACTGGCCATGAGCCTCTATCCAAGGCTAAACTTGCTTTCAACACCCACATTTGGACTCCATCCAGGACTTTTATTGCTGCGTGAACTTTGGAGACCCTCTCCCAAGCACCCATTTGGAAATGGATTCAGTGTTCCTCTTGGACCACAAATTCTCCATGCCCAGTGCCCCGGCCAGCTGCCAGCTGCGGGCCACCACCTGCTAGGAGAAGCATTATCTCTACAGCCTTGCTTGCGGCCCAACTCAGAATCCCGGGTCCTGCCAAGGAACCCATTACTGCTGTTATTTGTTAAGGATCAAGCAGTAAGTTAGCACAGGAGCAGCCCTGGCTCCAGCCAGAGGGGTCTGCAGGCCAACGGTGGTGTCCGGGGAGCAGGGGTGCCCCTAGACGCACAGGCCTGTTTCCTGGGGAGACACTACAACCCAGAACTCAGGTGAACAGCAGTGCTGTCCAGGCAATTAAGCCAAGAAAGGGAACCTGCTCCGCTAATGGCCGGGATTAAAGCTAAATGAATGCAACTCAAATGAAAGAAATGCTGCCCCTTCTCCCTCTGGTCTCATTATCTTAATTAACAGCGCTTGGCGGAGCATTGAGGCTGCATTGATGTGTTGCTCCTGTTCCCCCACAAAGCCCTGGATACAAGTCAGCCAAGCCTTCGGAATAAAAACCCAATACTCAACCTCCCTCTAAATCTCTCACCAGCAATCTTTCTTGCTCTGAGAGAATCATGGGGTTCCATGAGTTGGAGGGACTCCTTTACACCAGTGTTTCTCAAACCATGGCCTGAGACCCACTTGCTTCAAAGTGCCTGGCAATCGGCTGTAAAATGCACTTTCCAGGCTCCACCAGACCTACGGAACCCGAATTTCTAGGACTTAGGCTGGGGTGTCAGTCAGTTGTGTTGGCTTTTTTTTCTCGTTAGTTTTTTTTTTTTATGTGATAAAATATACTAACATAAAATTCACCATTTTAACCAACGTAAGTGTACAGTTCAGGGGCATTAAGTACATCTTTCTGTCTGATATCAAATCACTCCCTGCCTCCGCACTTCACAAACAGCTCACGAGCAGTGGCCCTCGGACGCCCACTCCCACAAGCAACCCTCGGGGGTTTTTCAAGGTAAAGGGATTATTGGTTGCAGTGTTGATGTACTTCTTAACCACGTGACGTTCGAAACGGTGCTACTATTTATATTTGCGTTTTTATGTGCTACTGATGAAGTTTTTGAGTGTTGTACCCTAGCCTCTTTGTCCCTAGAAGCCCTGTGTATTTACTGTCATTTTGCGTAGCACGGTGAGATCTAGGAAGGAATCCATATGTCCCCTGATGACAGAACAGTATAAGTAGTTGTGTGGGTTGCTTTTCATTGTTTTTTTTAATAATGGTTTAGAAGCACACTGCCCCTGTCGCTCTCTTTTCTTCCTCTACCAGCTCTCAGAGAACTGGATGCTTGAAACCACTAGATGGCGCACTCCTCTGGTGGGATCAAAAGCTGTTCCCTGCACCCCGCACTTGGGGAGAAGTGGCCCAGACTGGACAAGCTTCTTCTGGGTCTTATGCCAAACACTCTCCCCTCCTCTGCCCCCTCTGGCTTCAAGCCATTTAGGGCTTACGGTTTTAGGTCACTTGGTCTTCCCTCTTGGATACCCCTATGTCCACACCTGCTCCCCACCCACTCTCTCACCCGGCCTGGACACCACTCTTGGACTCTCATCTTTTTGAGGCTTTATCAGGCCTAAAACAGCTGCACTGCCTGGTTCTATCTGTAGATCAGATCTGCCCAATATCAGTGCTCATTTATATTTACTTCAACCCATTTTGGCTTCCGGCCCCCATCCCAGGACCCCCTGCTTGGGTGGTCCGTCCTCCCAGCTCTATCTTCATGAGCTGCCCCTCTAGACTCTTGTCAGCTCCCTAGCTCACCTGGATCCTCTGCTCACCTGTCTTGGCACTTGACCCATAGAGGTCTGCTTCAGAGATAAAAATGTAGTTACGTCCCATCTTTCTGTATTTCATAAGAAAATAGATCTACATGGTATCTTTGTAATACAACAGGAACCCAAATAATATTCTTTAAAATCTATTTGTTCAGCTTACTTTATCCACTTTAGTTTAATTTTAACTTCCCTATTATGGACTTGAAAGTTGAATATGTTGGAACATATGTGGTTTGGGGCTCTATTCCACCACTTGTTACCACGAATAAGTCACCTAGTTCAGTATATGCATTGGGGGCCAGCCCTGAGTCATCTTTAAAGAGACAGGAGTGAAATTAGAAAATTTAACTCTGTTATTCTGAGCTGGTGCTCTCACTCCCATGTCTCTGCCAAGATTTTTGTCTGGTTACAGTGGCTGCAAAACTGTCAGCAACTAGGGGGCGATGGTAGTTCTTTCCCCAAAATACAGTCATGCCTTGGTTTGCGAGCATAGTTCATTCCGGAAACAAACTACTCGTATTACAAGACGTGGCTCGTTTACCACGTTAAAATGTATTAGAAATGTTTGCTCATTTTGCGGAACACTCGCAAACCAAGTTACTCGCAACCCAAGGTTTCACTTTCCTGGCAGTTCAATATCAGAACATGTTTATCTAGCAGTCACTTAAACTCTTCATTTATAAAATCAAAGTTCCTGTTCCCTTTTCTTCTAGAACAGAGGTCAGCAAACTATGGCGTTTGAACTGCATAGCCTAAAATATCTATCATTTGACCCTTTACAGAAAGTTTTCCAGGCCCTTTTGTGGAATATAAAATGTGGTGGTTGTTATATGTAAACTAAGGGTTCTCAGTTTGAGGTTGCCAGGGGCAGGCTTCAGGAGGTCAGCGAACCCCCTGAAGTTGGGTGCAAAACTTGGTTAGTGATGCAAATGTGCATTTTTTGGAGGGCAATCAGAGCTGTCATTGGATTCTTGAAGGGGTCCATAACCTCAAAACAGTTGAAGTCCACTGTATTATGTAAAAAAATGCAATATAAGTGATAGAGTGAGAAGAGCTCTGTCTACGCCAGACAATATCTGTCAACAGCCATGTCCATGGAACCAGAGGAACACATGGTCTAAGAGAGCAGGCACATCACATTAAAGCTCCAAGAATCCCCCAAGGTCTAGGGACCCCTGTGCCATGCCTCAAGCTAGGATGCCTGTGTTTTCATTCTCTTCTTCTCCATAGGATCATGGCGTTTCACCTTGACCTTCTCTTAGGAGTGGTACTCATGGCCAGCCCTCTGCTTGGAATTTCTCCCTGCTCCTCTGATGGTCAGAGGGCCTTCTATCGTTTCTGCAACCTCACCCAGGTCCCCCAGGTTCTCAACACCACTGAGACCCTCCTGCTAAGCTTCAATTATATCCAGGCAGTGACAGCCACATCATTCCCCTTCCTGGGGCAGCTGAAGCTGCTGGAACTCGGAACTCAGTTTACCTCCTTCACTATTGACAAAGAAGCCTTCAGAAACCTGCCCAATCTTAGAATCTTGGACTTGGGCAAAAGTCAGATAGGCTTCTTGCATCCGGATGCTTTTCAGGGACTGCCCCATCTGTTCGAACTTAGGCTGTTCTCCTGCGGGCTCTCTGATGCAGTGTTAAAAGATGGTTATTTCAGGAATTTGCATTCTTTGTCTCGCCTGGACCTGGCCTACAATCAGATCCGTAGCCTTTCCCTTCATCCTTCATTCTCGGAACTGAATTCCTTGAAATCCATTGATTTTTTGCTCAACGAAATAGCTGTGGTATGTGAGCATGAGCTCAAGCCCCTCCAAGGGAAAACACTCTCCCTTTTACGCCTTGCATCTAATCACCTGTACAGCAGGGTCTCAGTGGACTGGGGGAAGTGTATGAACCCGTTCAGAAACATGGTCCTGGAGACCTTAGATGTTTCCCTCAATGGCTGGACCGCGGACATCACAAGAAACTTTTGCAATGCCATCAATGGAAGCCAGATTTCCTCTTTGGTTCTTGCCCACCACATTTTGGGTCCTGGGTTTGGCTTCCAAAACATGAAAGAACCTGACCGGGATACATTTGCCGGCCTGGCCAGAAGCTCAGTGATACGTTTAGACCTTTCACATGGATTTATCTTCTCCCTGAACTTCCGGCTCTTTGAGGCCCTCAAGGAGTTGAAACTTCTGAACGTTGCCCACAACAAGATAAACGAGATTAAAGATGAGGCGTTTTATGGACTGGACAACCTCCAAGTTCTTAATCTGTCATATAACCTTCTAGGGGAACTTTATAATTCTAACTTCTATGGACTACCCAAGGTGGAATATATTGATCTGCAAAAGAATCACATTGGAATCATTCAGGAACACACATTCAAATTCCTGGGAAAGTTAAATACGCTAGACCTCCGGGATAATGCTCTGCAAACAATTGATTTTATTCCAAGCATATCTTATATCTATTTGGGTGGCAATAAACTGGTGAGTTTGCCAAACATCGCACTTACAGCCAACTTTATCCAATTATCAGAGAACAGACTAGAAAGTCTGGATAATCTCTACTTTCTTCTCCAGGTACCTCACCTCAAGATTCTCATTTTAAATCAAAATCGCTTTTCCTCTTGTAACCCAAGTCATGCCCCTTCAAAGAGTCTCAGCTTAGAAAAGCTTTTCCTTGGAGAGAATATGTTGCAACTTGCCTGGGAGAGTGGGTCCTGTTGGGATGTTTTTAAGGGGCTTTCCCGTCTCCAGGTCCTATACTTGAATAATAACTACCTGAATTTCCTTCCACCTGGAGTATTTAGCTATCTGACTGCATTAAGGGGTCTCAGCCTCAATTCCAACAGGCTGACCTCTCTTTCTCCTAACGACTTACCTCCTAATTTAGAGATCCTGGATGTGTCCAGAAACCAGCTCCTATCTCCTGATCCTAATGTATTTGCATCACTTAGTTTCGTGGACATAACTCATAACAAGTTCATCTGTGAGTGTGAACTCAGCGCTTTCATCAGGTGGCTCAATCAAACCAATGTCACTATATTTGGGTCTCATGCAGACATATACTGCATGTACCCCGACTCGCTCTCTGGGACTTCCCTCTACTCTCTGTCCGTGGAGGGTTGTGATGAAGAGGAAGTCTTAAAGTCCCTAAAGTTTTCCCTTTTCATCTTATTCACTGTCACTTTGACCCTGTTCCTCACGACCGTCCTCATAGTTGCGAAGTTCCGGGGGTTTTGTTTCAACTGTTATAAGACAACCCAGAGATTGGTGTTCAGGGACCAAACCAAGGGAAGACCCTACGATACATACAAATATGATGCCTATTTGTGCTTCAATAGCAAAGACTTTGAATGGGTGCAGAACGCTTTGCTCAAACCCCTGGATGCCCAGTACAGTGACCAAAACAGATTGAACCTGTGCTTTGAAGAAAGAGATTTTGTACCGGGGGAAAACCACCTCACCAATATCCACAGTGCCGTGTGGAGCAGCAGAAAGATTGTGTGTCTTGTGAGCAGACATTTCCTTAGAGACGGGTGGTGCCTCGAAGCCTTCAGTTACGCCCAGAGCAGGAGCTTAGCTGACCTCAACAGCGCCCTCATCATGGTGGTGGTCGGCTCCTTGTCCCAGTACCAGCTGATGAAACATGAGTCCATCAGAGGATTTGTACAGAAACAGCAGTACCTGAGGTGGCCTGAGGATCTCCAGGACGTTGACTGGTTTCTCCATAAACTTTCTCAACACATACTAAAGAAAGGAAAGGAGAAGACAGACAATGACGTTCAGCTGCAAACTATAGCAACCATCTCCTAGTCAAAGGAGTAGTTTCAGCTGATGTCAAGCCACAGGGAACTTTATATTTGCACTAAGTTACCTTCTGAGGGTCCTTTTTGAAGTTGTGTGTTTTTTTTTGGTTTGCTTTTTGTTTTGTTTTGTTTTTTCCTACTATGAAAACAACATAAAGCTCTTGATGTTCATAGCAACACAATGTTTTGTCTCACTGACCTCCACATGGAAAGAAATGGATCTGGACGATTCTACGAATACTACGGAATATTTCCTAGTCGTGGGTGGGGCGCCTTGAGAAAAGTTACAGATGGCGGACATGAAGGAGCTGGCAAATGAGTCCGAGCTCTCTGTGCTCTACAGGAAAACACTGAGTAGAAAACAAACAGAAAATGAGGCATGCTTCCTACGTCTGCCTTGGGCACAATGCCATAGCTGGGTGCAGGTCACGCTCAGTCACGGGGCTGAGAGGTGGCGCTAAAGAGGCCAGGATGAGAACAACTAGATCTCTTGTGGCCATAGCAGTCTTCCTCTTCTTACCTTCAGCTCCTCCAGATTTAATCCCAGTGGACCATGAGTGTTTTTTTTGTTTTTGTTTTTGTTTTGCAGGCAACCATTGTTTAAGACCTTCTGTGATTTAGCACCGAACTATCTCAGCTTTATTTCTTTTTTATCATTTATCATCCACTCAGGCTATTGTGGAAAGAACGTAGCCTGTGGACACAGATCCTGGTTTGGGTTCTGATTCTGCTGCTTTTTAGCTCTGTGACCTCAAGCATGCTAAACACCCTTGCTGGGCCTTAGTTTTTTTGCCTGGAGGCGTGATCATATCTACCTCATAGAGTGGCCGTGAAAATGGAATTGGCCAAGGATATCAGGACTTCTCAGATCTTGTTCTTAGTTGCCCCAAACGGCCACAAGAGGGAGCACACCCTGGAGTTGGTCGAAATTTCTGAGGTTTTGTTTTTTTTTTTTATCACAAAAGAAATCTGCATGTAGTTTGCATTCTGTTTCATTTTTTAATGTTTATTTTGATATAGGAACGTTTTTCTGGAAAAGTATTAAGAAAATTTAAACGAGGGAAGGTGTGCCAAAATTACCCTGTGACTTCATATACGGCTTCCTCCAAGTCCAGCATAGCCCCAGGTCAGCTGCCTCTGTTTGTGGAGCACACCTAGGCCTGAGACCCAGCATTCCAAAATGTCCCTCCCTTTTCCTCACTGTGCCCCTCCTCACTGTGCCCCTCCCCAATCCTAACTCCTCCAGAACACACACACACACACACACACACACACACACACACACACACACACACGCGCACACTAGCTGTTCTCATCCTGGCTTCTTTGGGCCCCCTCTGATCCGTGAGACTGAGCTTGTGCTGCACTTATTGCTTTTATATGTGAACAATGGCGCATGCATTAACACTTTTCATATGCACAGCTCACACACACACACCCCATTCTACCCCCTTCCTTCTGGAATGTTCTCTCATCTCTGCACATCTATCCTACATGTTCTTCAAATTCCAGCCCGCCAAGCCTCCTGGGGTGCGTCCAGCCCAAAGTCCTCTCTTCCTTCTGTGCACACTCTTGACCCTTTAGCTGTTCTTTCTGAAACAAGCACTACCTCCTGCTTCCTTTCAGTGTGTGAACTTGTCTGGCCGCTCACCCACCCCTCTGGGCTGTAAGCTCCATGGCGAAAGACCCTACGTGTCCTGTTGCCAGCATTTGGAATTCTTTCGGAGGCCCTTTTCCAAGTCTCACTTCACAAGAGTTGCTGCAAAAGTGAAGACTAGCAGTGCCAGGTGGAGATGGGGGTGCCCGTGGTCAGCTGAGATGCTACTTGCTAAGCAGCTTCTCCTGTCATTCTAAGTCAGGCCTCGGTAAACTGACAAATTCCACAGAGTGGGGTCTTTCGGGGTCACTCCTAAATGGGAGGGACCACGACAGTTCAGTCTAAGAAGGGCCAATACTTACTGTATTCGAAACTGACTATTCTGGAAAATCTATAATATTGTGTGAGGCTGCTGAAAACTTCAGATTCATCACCCCAAATCCAATTCACCCCAAACACAACTGACTTTGAAAATTTCTCATCAACCACTTGAATCTGCAGTGACTAATATTTCAGATAGTCCTGATATAATGTAAAGTAAATGTGGTTGAAAGTTCAAAATTATGAAATAACTCTATTGGGAGGGCAGGAGAATATGAAGTACAAGTGTAAGATAGATAAATGCTCACCTGCCACAATATAAAATCAATATAAAATGTCTAGAATGCTATATCAAGAAATAGCATTCTGAGTGTGCACTGAGAAATATAAAATGCCAGAAGAACTAACACAAATTAATAGTGAGGGCCTGAGAGAGTTCCACCCGATTCTTCCATTGGGAACATCTAGAAAAGCTAGAGAAACTGTTTTTTTAAATCTATTTAAAGGCATTGGGGAGCTACAAGACAGTAAATAGGGCCAAGATCAGGAGAAGAAGGAAATCAAAAGATTTAAAGTAGGACCTTCTATCCATCAGAAAAAACCATCAGCGGGTAAAAAGGCAAACCATAGCACATAAAAATAACACATGTATCTGAAAAGAACTTAGAGCCAAAATATGAAAGAAATACAATCAGTAAGAAAAAGGCAACACAAAAGAAAACTGGACAAGGGACTTGAGAATTTCACAAATGGACACCCAGTGTTCGAAAGTCAGTGAAAAGACAGTCAACTTCTTTTAGGCATCAGGGAAATGCAAATTAAATGTGTTACCAGTACACATCGACTAGATTGGCTAAAATTAAAATGACTGACAGTGTCAAATATTAGCAAGGATGTACAGCAATTCAAACTCAACTATGTTATTGGCGAAAAGGTACATTGGTTTACTTTAAAAAACACTCTCATTGGGCCGGCCGAGTGGCGCGTTGGTTAAGAACTGGCTTGGGATGCCAGAGGGCCCCTGTTTGGATCCCACATATGAGGGCCAGTGACACTGCCCTCTACAGCTAAGATGCTGAACAACAGCTCAACCTGGAGCTGGGCTGCCGTGAGTCGCCGGCGACGGCGTAGGCTGCAGTCCCTGTGGCAGTGGGTTGCCATGGGCTACCGCGTGTAGCCAGCAGCCAGCGTGAGCGGCCAGCAACCGCAGGGAGCAGCCGTCCAGAAGCCGGCGACTGATCTGCCTCGCCCGGGAAGAGCGCAATGATGGTGCCAACTTGGGCCAGTGAAGTAATGTCCTCCACAACTAGACTGAAGAACAAAAGGGCAGCAACTTGTCTGTTCCCCTTCCCCCAATTCCCCAATAAAAATCTTAAAAAAAAAAAAAAGTGAAGGGGATTCTCACAAAGAAAATTAACCAATAAATAAATAAATAAATAATACTCTCATTTATCTACTAAAGTTGAATCTGCATGTACCCTATGACACTGCAGTTTTACTCATAGGTATGTACACATCAGAAATGCCTGCACTTATGACCCAGAAGACAAAAATGGTTACGGCAGTGTTATTTGTGGTCCCCAACATGGGACACAAGCCACATGTCCATCAATCATAACATGGATTAAATACATTATTGTCATTGTCAACTATGCAGAAATGGCAACTAAACAATTGTAGTTACATGTAACAACCTGAGTAAATCTCACAAAAGTGTTAAGTCAAAGAAGCGAGGCATGACGATTACATACTGAGTGGTTCCATTTTTAGAAATTTCAGAAAGGCAAAACTCATCTGTAATGATAATGAAATGCTGGTCAGGTTCCATTTCTTGACCAGGATGATGATAACATGGGGATGTGCGCTTTGTGACCATACATTTTATCTGTACTGATTAATTTGTTCACTTATCTGTAGAGTATGATTCTTCAACTGAAAAAAAAAATTTAACAAGAGGGCAGATTTTTCTATTAAAAGAACAAAAGATATGTGGTAGAGCAATTCGTGTAGACCTAATAAGACATCCTCTCCCCGAACACCTTATCTTTCTTAGGGATGGACTCTGGTCTAAATGTGTTTCCTTCTCAGTCCCAACCAAAGGAAAATGCACAAGAGATTATACCGGAGGCCTTAGAAAGAGTGAAGGAGGCTGGGGTAAGACAGGGGGACTGGAAGCTTTCGTTATGAGTAGTTGGCATTATTTAATGCTTATTGCCTCTGTGCATGTGTTTCATTAATACTTTAATATAGACAAAAATATAATAAAATAAAATGGATTTAACATCTGCTCCTGGCAGAGGACAGAGAAAATAGAATTAGCCAGAATTTCAAAATTAAACTCCCAACACAGAAAAACAACATTATTTCAACAGGTGAACGATATATACATATATAAAATGTTGCTGAATTTTATTTTTCTTAAGATTAAAGGAACTTTTCATCTGTTTTAGTTAGCAATTAAATATTTTATTTCTCCATGGCCACAATACCTTCCATTTAGATACGCGCTCCTAGACCTTTTAAGAAATTAAACGTTTTTTTTTATTTCACAGACAATTCCATGGAAGGAACTCGCCAAGGGTCGTGTGGCCCTCTCAGAGACCATGGTCTAGGCGAGTCTGACAAGGCGGCTTTATGCTTGAAACTTGGGGACCTGATCCAACAGGCTGGAAATGTTTCTTTGGCCAGCTCAGGTACTTCATCTCCGCAGGGCCCCGTTTTTCTGTCCCCTCTCCTGGAAGGTCGCCTCACTGAGACGTGATAAAAACCAATGACATCATGTCTCATCGGGACCTCAGCCCCTTCAGGAAGCAGGTGCTTTGGCAGAGTGGAGGTGGGGGCATTTTCCTGCCGCGCTGACCTGGGTTTGCTGCTGAAGTAGCCCTCAGGGCCTAACACGTGAGGCCGCTTTCATAGTTTTTCCAATGACCTTGGCCATTAATTGGCTCCCAACTCTTTCCCCATCTGCAGCTGTGTTATAGGGCCAGCACGTTCCAGGCCTGTAAGTTGTGCCAAGCCCTAAGGGATTTGCAAACGTAAGTCAGCAACGTTTCTGTGAGTTCGTCCAGGTGAAACAAAAGAACGTTTTTGGAGAAAGGACCAAGGAAGACCTTCAGGCTTAGATGTAAAACAAAGGAGGAAAAGTCAGTGTGAGAGCCACTGGCAGATGAAAGTGCCACCTCTACCTTTGCTCAGGCTGCAGACCCAAATGAGCCAGGGACAGGAGTTCCCCCACTTAGCGTCCTCCCCAGAGAACACGCTGGCCTTGGAATCGGAAGACTCGAGTTGTCGGCCTAGCTAGCTGTGTGTTGTTTAACTGGTCAGAGCTTCAGGTATTGGATTTGTTGTTGTTGTTGACTTCCTCCCAGGACTAAATGTATGTGAAACAAGTGACATGTTCTAGCACAAAATAAATGCACATTAGTACCTGGAGAGTGCAGAGAGGTGAGGCTATGTCGAGTACATGGACCATCTATGTTTTCCTCGGTTCCATCACTCTGCCTTCAGTTCCTCGGGTTTAGACACTCCGTTCCTTGCCCCTGGGGTGAGGCTGACCTCTCTGGAGGTCTAGGCAATGCCTCTGGGAATCGGAGAAGGAAATCCCTGAGCTGTTTTTGTTTGTTTGTTTGTTTGTTTGTTTGTTTGTTTAAGTACAATAAAATGAATAGATCCACAGTATACACTTCAAGGCATTCTACACCCATGTAATGACTACCTCAGTCAAGATGTAGTGTATTTCTATCACTTTAGAAAGGCCCCTATTGCCTGGCCCTGCCAGTTACCCACCCCTGCCCCAAGTCGTGTAACCACTATCGTGATTTCTATCAATGCAGATTCATTTTATCTGTTCTAGAGCTTCACATAAATAGAATTATTCAATCAATCTTTTGCACCTGGCTTCTCTTATAATTTTGAGATTCTTCAAGGTATTGCCTCTGTCCGTGGTTTGTTCCTTTTCATGGCATTGTATGGATTTACCTCAATGTATTTACCCAGCCTCCTGTTGAGGTCTGTTGTTTACAGCAAACGGGGTTCCTCCCAGCTATTAAGCTACTATTATACAAACAAACCTACCATGTATGTTCTTTTACAGATCTTTTGGTGGACATGTTTTTGTTTCTCTTGGGTAAAACATCCAGGAGTGAAATTGCCAGGTCATAGGATAAGTATAGGTTTTACTTTGAAAGAAACTGCCCAGTTGCTTCATGTCCTCATCAGCGCTTGATATGGTCGGTCTTTTGCGTTTTAGCCTCTCTAGTGGGTGTGAAATGGTAGCTCATCGTGGTTTTCATTTGCATTTTCCTAATGACTAACATATTGAATACCTTTTTCACATGCTTGTTACCCATTTACATAGATTCTTTTATGAAGTGTCTGTTCAGAGGTATAAGACATTTTTCCTCATTGGAGATTTGCTGCTTCTCTCTATTTCAGTCAGGATTCAACTGAGACTACAGAAGCGATTCTATGTCCTCCAGGTATTCGAAGATTTAATTTGGAGAATTAGGGGTCTAGTGAGCTATTGGAAGACCTAGGAGAGTGAAGGTCAGAGACACTTACACCAAAGGCTGCTCAGCCTACGACACTCAAGCAGATGGACCTTGGAAGTTGCACTGTCGAGAGCATCTAGGAAGCTCCCACAGGCTTCCTCTGCAGCAGCAAAGAAATGGCTCTTGAGAGCACTGCAGGAAGACATCCTGATTCTCAATTCCTCACAGGTCTGGCTGCAACTGTCTCTGAAGAAGAACGGCCTTTCCTTTTTCTTCTTCCTCATTTTAGGAGTGCCTCTCATTTGCAAACCCTGACCAGGAACCAGACAGGAAGGGGTTCCAGGAAATGGTCCTGGCTTTCTTCTTGGGGGTGGGGTAAGCTGGGGCCAAGTTGACCACAGATAGGCCAACGCTTACGCGAAGAGTCTCTCCAATCCACGAGTGGAGTTGGTGTCCTCTGAGTAGCATTCTCAAGTCCCCCAGGAAGCTGGGGTGTGGTGTGCATGTATCCCCACAGGAGAGGTGCAGAGGTGGGATGCTTCAGAGATGTTACTCAAGGTGACCATGGCAACCAGGAGCAAGAGCCAAGGTGTTAGCCCCAAAGGTGATGGAGGGCAACGACATGAAGGGCGAAGCAAACCAGCAAGGGAGCAAATGCTTGTCGCCAGTGGAGTTGGGACCAGGTCAGGAAAAGATGACTAGCTCAGGAACAAGACTCTGAAGAAGCAGATGCAGCCCAAGGCCTCACGCTGGACTGGACCCCCTCTCCCCGTCCTGTGTCCTCTGTGGGCAGCCTGTACCCTGTGATGGCGTTTCTGGGGCCTGAGAGGGAACGTATCCTGAACTAATGTGCATCATAGCGGCCCGTGCTGCCCCCACAGCCCGGAGAAGACCAGGGGCTGGTTTGTGAATGTTGAGAGGCCTTTCCTCTCACAACAGCCAATGACCTAAAGGAAACTCCCCCAGAAAAGAAAACAATTATGAGTTATGGATTATTATAGGTTGAATTATGTCCTTCACAACCCATGTGTTGAAGTCCTATCCCCCAGGACTTCAGAATGGGACCTTATTTGGAAATAGGGTCACTGCAGAGAGCTCCAAAGGACAACAGTGGTCTGGAAGCTTCTACAGGCCTGGGGTTTGTCTTATCTATGGAGAGCAGATGTTGGGTCCATTTTCATGAGTTGTAAGTTATGCAGAGCAGGCAGGCTCTGGCTGGGTAAAAATATACTCATTTGGGCTCTATTTAAAGCCACTGGATGTGTAAAAATTTGACTCTGGTGCTGGTGGGCTTGGAGCTAATGGTTCTAGCCCACTGTGAAGTAAACAACATAGGGGCCAATACACGGGCCATTTTTAATCCATTTGTACAACATGCCCGTAAAACAAATAGTAGACAGAATGCAGGACAGGTTTGCCTGGACTTTTTACATTCTTTCACATTCTCTGCCATGTAGGGGAGCCCTACTGGCTGCCCAGTAACGTGTACAAACTACCCAAATCCTCCGTTGCCATGAAATCAAGTAAGTTTCCACAGAGTCGAAGGAAAAGCAACAATAGCATCTAAGCACCCCCAGAACCCTGGGAACGGGGTTGCCATTGGTGTCCCCATCAGGATTATCATCTCCACAAGCAGTTCATAGGCTCTGTTTCAGGGCATCAAAATGTATGGGCCACACCCTCAGCTCTCGAAGGAATTGCTAAACTGGCAGATTTTTCATGATCTCAGTAAAGCCAGGTGACAATGTACTTGACCAACGGGTCCTCTTGTTCAATGAATTTCCAAGTCAGTTACAAAAATAAAGCAAAACAATGCCACCATCTCACTGATGGTAAGCTGTCATTGATTGTAAGATGCTCCTTTATGTGATGCACCACGGATACATTTTTTAAACTGCCATTTAAATAATGACACTTGATTGTTAAATAAGAAAACCATGTGTTTTAGAAGAGATGAGATACAGCAGTGAAAACTATTAGATGAGCCCATCCACACACATCCTCCCCTTCGCCATCCCCCACTGGTGACAGAGAAGGTCTCTAAGGTCCCTTTCTGTTCCCATATCCTATGATTTGGGGGTTATGCCTTCTTATGGGGAGCTCAGAGAGTTTCTATAGGCTCAGCTCATCCCCCACTGGAAAAGGAGGTCCCTTGGGGGTCCTCTTCAGAGGTTCTGCAGGTTTCTCAAACATAAGGAGACAGTAGTATCTGACATTCTTAAAAATGAAACAGGGCTGGCTGAGTGGTGCGATGATTAAGAACTGGCTTGGG